TGGCCTTCCGGATGCATGCGACTAAACCTACCGGCCCAAGGCAACTCAGCCTGGGTGCTTCGCCGCGCGACAGCATACCCGCTGGGGCTGGCCTTCCGGATGCATGCGACCAAAACCTGCCGGCCCAAGGCAAATCAGCCTGGGTGCTTCGCTGCGCGACAGCATACCCGCTGGGCTGGCCTTCCGGATGCTTGCAACTAAACCTAACGTCCTAAGGCGCCTCAGCCTGGGCGCTTCGCTGCGCGAAAGCATGCCCCCTGGGCTGGCCTTCCGGATAGAATGCAGCTCCACACGGTAGCTCGGCCCTTCGCGAGACCTCCTTCGGATGAACCGCATCGGCCCCCTCCGGGTAACTAGTTGGTCCGCCATTCTGACGTCCTCCTTCGTCTCGCTGTTGAATGATGTCCTCCAAGCCTTCTTGGACTCCGCCGCGCGATTCCTCGCGCTCTGCCATCACTTCGCTGTTACTGGCGACCGATATGCCAGCAACGTCGGATCGCCTTATCTACTTTCCTATTGAGCTGGGTCACGAATACAAAGTAAATCCCTATTTAAACAATTCAAACTCCCCAACAGACGACGTTCTGACTTGCGCTTGCTTGCATGGTTGACTGGCGAACTTGCGTTGTCTGGATTCAGCGCTTTGTTCCCAGCTAAACTTTGTAACGAACTACCGTATCAGTCCCTGTCCTCTGGCCCATTCTGGTCTGCGCCTTCCCGCGCCGCACTTGCCGTACTGCACTACAGGACGAGCACTTAATCAACATGCATTTCTTGAGAATATGTGCGGCACATATGATACCTCAGTATCTCAAGTGTAATTTTCACTTTACCAAGTAAACGTCATAAAGCCCTTATTTGTGCGTACCCGTTATGCTATCACATTGCATGACGATATAACGAAAGTATAACGCGGTTATCAGTTGGAAAAACATGGAAACGACTCGACGCTAATACTCGACTCGACGATTACTTTATGGAATGGAATCAGCTTAATACCGATGAACAGTAATTCGCGTTCAAGGGATATAAGATGGAAACTGCAGGTGCCATGCGGCATGGCCCTCTCCGGAATCGTGCCCCTGGACCCCGGCCAACGCAACCACTAGCAGGCCCACTACCAAACTCAGGCAGCCCCTCCGTCGCCCTCCCTCAAGCCCCGCAAGACCCAGGAGCCCAAGAGCGCGTTTGTGCAATCCATCTTTCGCCCTTCATTTTGTGGATAACAGGAGATTGCACATCCTCCCTTGGCCGTGTAGCACTGTGCGGGGCCCCCCGCGGGCCCAAAGTATACAAGTTCAACCTGTTCAACACGAAGGACTTATCCGTCTGGGACTTTATGAAAATGCTGTGGACCGAAGGCCCCTGGTGTTGGTGGTGTTGATGGTGGCGGGACGACAATCGGCCCGTGCCGGCCTTGCCGGCCTACAGCTGCGCGCGGAGCAAAAGCTGTATACAAAATGCTAGAGCTCAGAGGAGTCTCTGGCGCTGGGACTGTCAATTTGGAGGGGCATTTCCCTCGAGCAATCGACCAATGCATAATGCAGTACGATGCTGTACCGCCACACGCCCCCTAACCAACCCTTGGACGACGGGGATGCGCGCAAATCCTCTGCCTTCAACGTGCGTGTTGTCCGCTATCATATCATATGACTATTTCCCAGCTGAGTGGGCAGCTTGTGGAATACGACTTGGACGACGAATGGCGACAAGGCGACCGTACTTATAACTTTCACTAAGGAGAAGGGCACATGCATGCATGCGACGCTACCTCATCAGGTCGTTTATACAAGTTACAAGTTCCGCACACAAGTGCGGGTGTGTCCGTAAAAGCCGGGGGGCCCATGGTCTTTATAAGTATTCAGGTAGCCTCCTCTCTTACTCCCGAAGGTGGGGTAATGGAACCACAATTCACATTGTCAAAACCATGTGACGATATCCACAAATGCTGTTCACGGCAGCAGGGGCGCTTGGCTTAGGCCATGGCAGGGTAGTGAAGTGGGGGAAAAGCGAGGCCCGCCCGACGATGCAATCCACATAGCGACGAAACCGACCCGCGGGTCATTTCTCACGCTGTCCATAGCTGCTGCTGCTGCTGCTGCGTGCTGGCAACAACCGAGCCCACACGTCGAGGGCGTGTCACAGAACAACTGCACCTCCAGCGTCGCAATGCACACGTATCCATGTATGCCCATGCCCGCAAGCGCAACGCACCTATAGATACACACGACCAGGCCTCACTGCGCACACGCACACACACATACATACACACACAGACACGCAAGCAGGCAGCAGGCAGGTGCGCTTCCAAGACAAACCTCGCCTGCTCGACCATCCCGCTGTACTTTTATCCAAAAATCTGTATGTACCGTGTGAACCTGCAGTCAGCGGTGTATTAAGATGACAACACCTCCTGTGGTACACCCAATCTGCATCGTCATCATCATCATCATCATCATCTACTCCAGAGCTGTTAATAATAAAAATTACGCTATCATCATCAGTTCAAAATCCCCACCCACGATTAGTAAATTTTGTTCACTTGTACGACAGCTTGTACGATAGGAAGATGCACGCAAGGAGGAGGCGCCATTGAAATGCACCGTTACGTACAGGACGAAGCGGGCGACCTGTGGCTAGCCAGATCCCACAAAATCATCACAAACGCAAAAAACTAGACCCGAATACTGAATACACCAACAAACCAGAGACCAGACCCGACCAGGCCAGGCCAGTCAAGCACCCATACATTGCGGCCCCCGTCGCTGCCGGCTTTGTGATCTCGCTCCACCTCGGCTCGTGCGTTGCTGTGCGTCGCAACAGCAACACTAACTGCACGTGAACGTGCGACACCTGGCGTACACACACATACAGACATACTGTCATCTTAATGCCTTAACAGGCAGCCGTATATACTCATCCGCTTTCAATCAATGAAGAAACCTCGCCAACAACATAGAACCGCAGTCCGTCTGTCCGTTCATGTTGTGTTCAGGGAGGCTTGTCCCCTAGAGGGGTGTGTGGCACAGCGTGTACATGGGGAAAAAACAATACACACAGGGAAACGGGAAAAAGAACGCGCGCGAGGAATAGCATGAGGGACAGATGGGCGAGCACTCACGCACGTATCCCTGCCGTACGATGAGGCAGCCAGCACCGTCGTAGGAAAAAGTGAAGGCGGACGCGGTTGCAGCCCCAACCGCGCAACGGAGGTTTTCATTCCAATCCATTTCAATCAGTGCTAGGCCGTCATTCAGCATCACATCGATATTAATTCCAATGATTCCAATTCATGAAGCTGCTGTAAAACAGTCGCCATGCGTCCTCAATATGTCTTATGGCGCCGCTGGTGTTGTTGGTTTGAACTACGAACTGGAATAAATTTTCCTCTCTCTCGAAAAGAACGACAAAAACGTGAACGCACTAAAGCTACAGGCTCATCGCTATAGTCACAATCCAGTATCATAGGAAAAATGTAAGAATGTCCTGTACAGCATCGTAACTACCTGCGCAAATCACAGATGTCAATAGGCCTTCCGGCCATCCATGGACAAGGCAGAATCATGTATCAAAAGGGAATGATTGCCTCTCTCGTCCCTTCTGTAGGTCCGCACAAACTTCCTGTACTCTTATTAACATCCATTCATCCTATCCGGAATTAAAATCACAAGTCTCTGGCATTCTCATTCTTGCCAGTAACTTGCCTCCGTAGCCTTGCCCCTCGGCAAGCTCGTCGTCGCACACCGCTCACGCCCCAGTCGCCTTCTACTCAGACGCGGCTGGATCCTCCCCGACAGCGGGCCAAGCTCAGCTCAACTAAGCCCAGCTCTCATCTCACCCGAACCGCCAAGGACGGATACCGCCCTTCCTTCGTAAACGCCCGGTAACAAAACCCCCGATCCTCCTCCTCCTCGTCCTCCTCCTGCCAAAAACAGCCACTGCAGGACGGCAAGTCCCCGCAGTCCACCTGCGCTCTCCACACTGCCCCTTCCTTTACACGAGCACTATCGCTGCTCGCCTTCATTACCCCAAAACCCCCTCCACACTGGCAGCCGCCGCTGCGAGGCACCTACACCGCCGTTCCCGTTTTTCGTCCCCCCCCTTCCACATCTACCTCCGCTTCCCCCTTCACCACAGCCATCGCCGTCACAATCTCCTCTACCGCCGCCATTTCCTCCCTCACCAAAGTTAAAAGAAGTAGCCACTAGTAGTCAAAAGTAGTTATCGCCGCGGAAACTCTTCTTCCGAGTCGCCTCAACGCACAAAGCTCGCTTGCCCTGCGGCTTGGAAGCCGGGCCCAGGCCCGGCAGGCGCGCACTGCCCGAAGACTGGCTGCCCCCGCCGCCCCCGCAGCTGTCCGCATGGTGACCGTCGGGGCGCTGCAACATGCTGGGCCGCCGCAGGAACTCCATAGCCTTGGGTGGCTGACCGCGCGCCCCGGCTAGCGCCGGCAGCGCCGGCAACTTATCCTCCACCACCGCCTGCCTATCTCCGCCACGGCTCCGTGTCGGCCCCGCCCCGGACGATCTGGAATGCTGGCGCATCCCATGGGGGTGTAGCCGGGAGGCCTGGCCCAATGCGGGCAGGTGCTTCCACTCCGCCTGCGTCCCCCCGCCCGGTCCGGGCTCAGAGATCGATACCTTGCGTGACAGGTTGGTCCCATTGGACAGTGATCGAGGTCGTGCGGAGGCGTCGTTGCTGCCGTGACGGCTGATGCCGGTGCCCCGGTCCCGTTCCATGGACAGCCGCACAGGGCTGCCGTTGATGATGGCGGTTGAAGGAGCGATGATGAACATATCTCCGTAGCTCCGGGCGGCCAATGCACCCGGAGAGGCTGCGGGAGACTGCGGTGTCGACATCGCTGCTGTTGCTGCTGCTGCGGCCGCGGCCGTCCTCGCGCTCTTAAGATGCTGGTCCATCGCCGGCTTGCCGCCGACGTCAGCGGTGCGACCCAGCAGCGGCGCCAGCGCCGACCCCGGCGCTGGCCGCGTTCTCTGAGGCCCCAGCGGCGGTTGTTGTTGCTGTTGCTTGTCCTTCAGTGCCGCCCATGACCGCAAGTCCATGTCTGCTAGGTGCCCCAGGGCAACCACGTCGCCGCCGGCGGAGGCCGCGTGCGATTGCGGCATTCGCGTGTCTGCTTTTGCGTGGGAGCCCTGGCGCTCCGTCAGCTCGTCCAGGTCATCGGGGGGCAGCTCGTCCAGATTGGCGGATGACGTCTCGCTCAGTGTACGGCGCAACTCTGGATCTTCCACTGACTTGACAGAGATGGCGCGGGCAGCCCGGCGACCGCCGCCGCCTGACGGCATGGCGGCATCGCCGTCCGACGCCGCCGCCGCCAGGTCCCCCGTTGCGCTCGCAGCCGTGGAGGCATGGGACGCAGCGCGACTGAGGCCCAGCGAGATCGTTTCATCTTCGTCGTCTGCGGCAGCCGCTGCCGCCGCTTCGCCCGCTACGACTGCAGATTTCACGTCTTCCGCCATCGTCAACGCCGCCGCCGGCGACTTATCCGAGGCCGGCGCGACGTCCTGGCGGGAGTCACCGGCATCCTCCCCCTCCAGCAGTGCGTCAAGGTCATCATCATCATCGTTGTCTTTGGGTTCAATTGCGGCATATCCGGCAGTAGCAGCAGCGCCACCGCCGCTGCCGTCCAGGGCGCCGTCGGCAGTGCTCCCGGCGGCTTCGGCTTCTACCGCCGACTCCGTCGCTGCCGCCGCCTGGGCCTCGCTTGCATACCCTTCCACCAGGCCATTCCAACGCGGCTGCTGCTCCTTAATCTTCGCCAGCAAGCTCTCTAGGCAAGCTGCTGCTGTTTGAGGCGCGCCGTCGCTGCTACACGCCGTGACCAGTGTTGCAAGAGAGTTCTTGAACCGCTCGACGGGTAGGTAGTCCTTCCCGGCCTCGCTTCCGCTCCCGCTTCCTGCGCCGTCCTCCTCCCAGGCCGCATCCAGCGCGGCGCGGCGGACGGCGGGCTCGCTTCCGGCGCCGCCCGGGGCGGCACGGCTAAGAATATCCTGAAATGTGAGTTGCATGTTCGTTTTCTTTTGAAAATTTGTTTTTGATGAAAAGCAGCAGCAGTTGCAGCGTTGGACAGTTGGGACAGATACACACACAGACACACACGCTGGTGCGCTGATATGATGCGTTCATGGAAAGAGAGGCAAAAAGTGGAAGGTTGCAACGCCCAACGCCAAAAGTAGGGTGCAGTTCACATTCACATCACACAAACAAACTGCGGATGATAAAGTGGAATGGGTATTCATATAGTTGTGCGAGTTACGTCTGGAGGGGAGCGAGTGAAGGGGGTCGTGGAGACCGACGAGCGAAGGGGGTTTCAGAAAGGAATCAAATCGAAACCCGCTTGCACCATCGCAGGCGGGTGGCACACCCCCTGTTCACACTGGTAAAGGCAATCCACCGAGGCAATCCTGCTGAGGCTGGGCTGAGCTGGGCTGGCCTGCTGCCCCTGCCGGCTCCTGCCGTGGACGCTTGAGCCGCTCGGCTACTGCTGGGCCCGGGAGCCCTGGAGTTTGTTACTTAGTTAGTTTGTTACTTAGTTAGTTTGTTACTTAGTTAGTTTGTTACTTAGTTAGTTTGACTCGTTAGGGATGTAGGCTAGACGCACTGACAGTGACAATGATAGCGATAACGGCAAATGACGATGACGACCATGACACAGGGAGTGACAGGCAAGGGGAAGGGTGATAGAACGAAACACTGACAATTGAAGCAGATGCCAGGAATAGATGGATATACAAAAGGATTATTAGACAGGTGCAGGGGGAAGGGGGAGTGAAGGCCTCGGGCCAGCTCTCACCTGGATAGTAGCATGCATCGCCGCGTAGTAATGCGCCTTTGAAACGACGCCGCTCGGTGCCAGCCATGCTTCCCATTCACCCAGCTGGGCCGTCAGGGCGGCATCGTTGAAGTCCAACTGCGGAGAATTTTTTACAGCGTGGGTGGCAGTAATGTGTTGGCGCTGCGGGGGTTGATGGCTAGGGCGCCAGCTCTCTAGGGGAACATTCCTTAAACGGATAGCACGGAAAACAGATAGGTTATCGCACCTGCATATGATCCTGTTGTCCTTCATCACTTCCGTCCGTGCTGCAAGGCAGGCATCAAGTCATAATCGGTTCAGGTTCAGCTGAGGTATCATAAGCGAAGGGGGCGCCCCTCGCGCCTTCCCAAGCATTAAAAGAGTCATCGCAAGCCAGCTGTTAGCAATGCGTACCTGCTCCATTCGACGAGAGCTGCGCTGTTGTTAGCCTGCAACGTGTTGCATAGGCAGTGACACATCCCTAGCATCGGCGCATTCTGGAGGCCCCGCAAAAGTTCCAAGCGCCTTAGCACAACCGATTCCAGTTGCAATTGTGAGAGGAACATGTTTATCGATCTGCCGTCCAGCTCCTGTGTTTCCCTTACGAAACGTCGACTTATTCTAACACGCAACCTGGGCAAAACAAAACAAATCGAGGCCCATCGTTAGGTTATCGCAAAGCGTGCGGGATTACAGACTTATTGAACCGTGGAAAAGCGAAAAGTCAACTGCGTGTGAACTTCCATGCGACTTATGACCTCCGCTGAGACTTAAAAATGACAAAAAGCGTGCAGATGCGTAAAGAAGTAATACACACCTTATACTACGACTAGTGACACCCTGCGGCTCCTGTAAGAGCCTCAAATCTTCCAGTTCGATGCACGCTCCATAAGGTTGTATATCTCATACACAATCATTCTGGCAAAGCCTAATGCTTATTTGTGAAAGTGTTGCGAGACTCATGAACAAGTCCTGCCTTGATTGCCGTTTTGCGCCTTTTCAGTGTTTGTCGGTGACTAGATACCTAGGGTGCGGGTCGCTTTGCTTCGATGCATTGGTAAACCATGGAAAGCTTTGTTCTTCTCGCCATCACCGTGGTACGAAATGCCGTAAATTGACTCTGCGTCGAGCTAGCTTTCCTTTGGTCACAACGAAGCAACCTCTTGCCGTCGTTTCATTACATTTGTTACAGGTCACTGTCCAGTACCTTGCAATTTAGTGTTGCCATAAAGTCGTTGATGTTCAACCATCTCGCGAGCTGCCCAGGGTAGACATCGTAGTGCGCTGCTTACGAATTAAGGCGCACCTGCAGCACAACGATTTTCCATAACCATAGTCTCACCTAGTTTTGCCAGCGGAGTTCTGTGGGGCGGCTCCTTCGCAAGTTCAGGATGGTGTTCTACTTCTATCCGCGCGGCCACAAGCCGAACACGGAGGACTTTATGATCTATATGGGTAAAGACAAGGTGTGATACAACACCATCCATAATTATGACCGGCGCGGGGCCTTCACCCTCTGCCACCGCCTGATGCTGCTACGCACCCTCCTAAAACCCATGCATAACTGCACGTGCATCTGCAGTATGAGAACGAAGACCTGATCGCGCATGGCCTTCCATGTGACCTGTGGTAAGCCAGCTGCCGTGTGCACGTACCGCCAGCCCCACCCTTAGCCCCGCCGGGCCCCCACTCCTGTCTTTCCCTGTCTCCCTCGGTGGGTTACCCCCAGGGCGCCTCCCAGGTTACACGAATGGCGACTTGTGTGTATTGCTTCCCTTCCTTCACTCGCGCTCTTCCCCCCTCACATATACACATGCCATTCACCTGCTTGTGGTTAATTCCTCTCCCCCTCCCCC